TGTCAAAAGGGACAGAAAATTCAATGATAAAAATAAATTCATTGGCTTTATCAAAAAGGACAAGATCAGGTTTGTTGGCAGGAATTCTTCTGAGGCTGTATATGGGCCTATTCCACAGAAGTTTGAAAGCATAATTTTCCATGATGCCCTGGACATGTTCAGGGTCGTACCATGGATGGACCTCGGAGTCAAAGCCACAGACATGGCGGAGACGGTAGTAAAAGCAACGAGTCATGCCATCGTGTCGTTTAAGATATGCTGTTTGTGCCAAAGAAGGGCGCACATATCCAGGCAACTAGTGCATGCTCAAGGCGCTGGTATTTTTCCCTGATCATTGGATGTCAATCTCAGCGGCACATCGTATTATCAATCTCAACTCCTGGAGGTATAAAAACTTCTTGCAGCCACTAGGCGCACCGAGTTATTGTGGCTTTCTCATTCTAACGAGGTTTTATTATATCTTGTCACGACATATCTTATATGTTGACATACTTTAGTTGGTCGAGGAGGTGAAGGTAGATGTGAGATAACAACAGCTGTTAGTTCATTTTACTATTTTTCAGTGAAGTAAAACAAAAATATACAGAAAGTATAAAAAATATCATATTGCTTTATTTTACCATTAAACCTATTTTTCCTATCTGTCGTAGTTATTGCTAGAGTTTTCGTAACATTTATGCTATAAAAAAAAACACTTCTAACGTAGCGGCTTCTGAAGGAAAGCAGAGGAGGTAACTTCGCAAGTGAGGGCTTCACACGTGTGATTCAACAAGAATATTTAGAGTTAACTCCCCTGTTCCTTCCTTCCGTTGAACCGGAAGATGGCAGGGGTAATGGATGCGAAGAACGATTTGACATACCACGAGAGGCGCTTAAAATGTTGAATAAAGTATATTTTACGTGGGTAATTATTAAATATGTGGTTGAAACTCTTACAGCACAATTCTATGAGGAAATGGTTGCCTACCTTTTATGGTGGCGATAATATATTTTGACATATAAATATTTTTCGAACCGAAGCGAGGGGAAGTGCGTTGCCAACATTTGCTCGCTTCGTTCCCTTCTCTCTGTTTCGCAACGACAGTTGTCTACATGTTGCCTGTGATGCAGCAAACGATAAGGATTGTACCGAGGGTACTCAAAAGACATTGCTATGATAGTGCTTGTTAACAGCTTATTTCACGTAGGTGGCATGCATATCTTCAACATCTTCTGAACCCTGATAACGCAAATAATGACGTTGCTAAATGTATTTCTGAATTCTTGTCAAGGCACAATATGGACCATTGTGAATTTTGTAATAAGAGTGATATTGAAATTGCCAACTGTATAAGTGATCAGGAAATTATTATATCAGTGCTATTATTAAGTTGAAATGTGGTAAGGTGCCGGGGGAGGATGGTATACCCGCCGAGTCAATTGAGGAGGTTACAAGACTTTTGTTGCCTTTGTTAAACAGGTTATTTAACCAGTTGGTTCTCTACAATCAAATTTATGATCCGTGTTTATTCCCGTCTTCTTGGAACTTGTGATTAATAGTACATTTATACAGTCTGGTTTAAAGAGTGACTGACTGACTGACTGAGTTTGGTTTTACGCCGCTTTTAGCAATATTCCAGCAACATCACGGCGGGGGACACCAGAAATGGGTGTCACACCTTTACCCAATAAAACGTTTTATCAAAAACATAAAAAATCTGCCAATCGAGGCAGCTTTTTGATGGCAATTAGTTTGATTAAGCCTATACTTTTTTATAGGGCTGGGCTTTTGGGATGGGAGAATCGTAAACCAACTGAAAAGGTTCATTCAAGTTTTGTAAATGTGTATTACAGATTGTTCTAAGGCATCAAGTAAAGCAACTCTGGCAGAATGCGGTCGTTATCCTATGACATATATGCCTATATTACGCGGATTTACGTCAACCACCATATAGATATACAAAGAAATGTTATGAAGTGTTAAGAAGACTAGAGTGAGTGAGTGAGTGAGTATGGTTTTAGCAACATCACGGCGAGGCTTCACACATTGTACCCATGTGGGGAATCGAGCCGGGGTTTGGCGTGACAAGTCAACGCATTAACCACTAGGCTACCCCATAACCATATCTGTTAATGTAATAAATACCTATGCATGTTTTTCTCTAATTGCTTTACACGAGTGGCCATCTAATAAATAACGTAATAAATGATAAAAGAATAATGTATTAGGATCGTATCAACAGGTACCCTCACCTTTCACTATGCCAGAATCTGCCAAGATATTTTATTTACCCGAAGGAATATTGATATATTTTATACATTGTATTATATATTTATTCATAATTTTACATCTTTTAGTTTATTTTACTGTGGGCTTACATAAAATGTAGCGTCTCTCATAAATCGCTGAGCAATTGGTTGTATAATTATAATGTTAATGTATCTATATTTTAATTGCTTCAACATAATGCTGTATACAAGTGAGACGTTCTTCTAATAAAATATTCTTCTTCCGCAGCAATAAAACATGGACATCAACGATGAGCTTCAAATAATCGGACTCAAACCCGTAATACAAGCGAATGCTTTAACTACTGGACTACCCAACAAGCTCTGTTAGAATCTGACAGAAACCTTCACCTCCTGTTTGAGGACGACCATGACCTTTCACCTTGCAATTAAGCCCAACGTCCCCTTCCCATTTTATAATGAAATCACCCATGATGCACCGCGAGGTACCATATATAATCTGATAAGGTTAACCTCATTGTCTCCCCGGTAAAGGCCGCCGTTGTGCCGTCGACGTGAAACATCAACTTTATCGAAAATGTAATTTTATAACGAGGTGGAACAACAGCGTTATGGACAAAGCAATCTGTATGATGTCGGCAGCCGCAGTCTGCCTACTTAACCCAGGATAAACATTCCAGACTTCATGAATCTATTGATTTCTTTGTAGCAACAATCTTCTAATAATACCCTTCTTTATCGGCTCTGTTAATCTCAGCAATGTATATTTAGATCTAAATTAAAACGTAACTCCATTGATGTCTTTGAAATGCTTGTATACGCTGTATTAATTTTGAATAGGGCGTTTTTAGTCAGACTGGTGGCTATTTTTAAATCACTTTAAGAATTCACCTTTGAACATTTTTTTGTATTTTATGAAACTCGGCGCCATGGCATAACGGGCAAGGAGGCCCACGTATTTGACTTGATAACACACGCGATTCAAACAACAACCGTTCATGTTCCGCATTCCAACCAAGACTGTGATGTGGTAAAGTTGCACAGCCCGGTAAATACAGGTTTCCTGTATAGCAAGGTTTGGAAATGGAGCTTGTAATCTAGGATGTGTAAAATCCCAAAAGTAATACGTCATTTGTTTCGTATGGTATCCTACAAGGGACATTGTCACGTTGTCGCATTGTCGCCCTCTCAAAAACAAGCAAAAAGAGGCAAAATTAACCAAAGCGCAACAATGAGACAACGCGACATTTCGGCCATTTGTCGCATTGTCGCGTTTTGAAAAATATTTTTCTATTCATCCAAAGGGCAACAAACGACATAGCGACAATTTTCAAGGTCAGATATGTCGCGTTGTCGCATTGTTGCCCCACCTAGGATGTGGAAAAGAGCCTCAAAATGCGCGACAATGCGACAAATGGCCGAAATGTCGCGTTGTCGCATTTGTCGCGCTTTGGTTGGTTTGACTATTTTTGCTTGTTGTTCAGAGGGCGACAATGTCCCTTCTAGGATTCCATAGTTTCGGTTGATGCGGACAGACAGAAGTTTTATTCAATATTTCAGGTCATGTGACCTATAATACAGACGTATCAAAGTCTAACTTCAAGAATATTTTTAGGAATATTGAAACAGATAATATTATATTGATATTTCTTGAGTTTAACAAGTTCTTCATTAGTTTTTCATCTTTGTACCAGTGAAGATCCGGGTTAGAATTGATCTTCAGCAACCCTTGCTTGTCGTAAGAGGCGACAAACGGGATCGGGTGGTCAGGCTCGCTGTGACTTGGTTGACACTTGTTAAACATGTCATCGTATCCCAATTGCATAGCTCGATACTCATGCTGTTGATCACTGGATTGTCTGGTCCAGAATCGATTATTTACAGACACCGCGATATTGTTGAGTGCGGCGTAAAATTAAACTCACTCACTCACTCACACAGCTGAGATCATAGGGGGTACCTGTTTCTAAGACATTGATAATGTTTACAAACGAAAGTTTCGATTGATGCAGGCAATGGCCTTGTCGTTGTTCTTGAGCGATAAGTTTTTTTGTCCTGAAATAATCATTGAAACTCTCGTGAAAACGCACACGCACACGCACACGCACACGCACACACACGTACACACACAGACACTTTCTCAAAAAGCTGTACCCGCACCTGATTCGTGTGTGTTTTACAGTTGTTAACGCTACGTTTGGGCCATGGGGTGAGGAGTGCTGGACTGGCCTGACGCTCCCTCTCTGAAAGTATCATTTTTATCGGAACAAATAATTTCATCTAAATAGAAAAGGAATTCCAGTGAGATGTAACGTAACGTTAAGACTGTGTTATACAGCGGGGTTTGGAAGGTCGGTGTTAGAAATTTAGGATACGCTTGAATTGTACAGTGAGGTTAAATCAGAGTCATTTCGAAGTGCAACATTTGAGCTTTGTTCACTTCATATTGTCGTTTACATGTAAATCGACCTCAAACATATTTTGTATAATAACAACATGCTGTTAGCTTAATGTAATCACACCATCGTTCTTTGGTTTCTTTGATCAAAATTTGTTGACAGCGGCGCAATACACGGAGATCTAAAAGAACTAAATCACTGTCTGCCTCATCTGCTAAATCGGGTCAACATTGTTCACTTTCACCCCCAATAGGTTGTGCGTCCTGTCTGAGCTAAACATAGTTGACTTTGGTGCAATTACTTCTTTGTTTGTTTGTTGAACGCCGCAATTGCCCAGCTATATAACGGTGTTTTGTAAATAATCCAGTCTAGACCAGACAATCCAGTGATTGATATCACGAGCTTCGATCAACGTAACTGGGATACGATGACATGTGTCAACCAAGTCAGCCAGCCTGACCACCCGATCCCGTTAGTCTCCTCTTACCACAAGAATGGGTTGCTGAGGATCAATTCTAACCCGGATCTTCACGGGTACTGTAGTGATATGGTACGGGGTCACTACGATCCCCAAAACGCCACTGCATTGAGTCCATGGACGGGTCACTGGACAGGTCACTATACAGTAACCCGTGAAGATCCGGGTTGACACTTGTCATCGGTTGTTAAATGACCATTGAAACTCTTGTGACAATGGTAAGAGGCGACTAACGGGATCGGGTGGTCAGGCTCACTGACTTGGTTGACACATGTCATCGGTTCCCAATTGCGTAGATCGATGGTCATGCTGTTGATCACTGGATTGTTTGGTCCAGACTCGATTATTTACAGACCGCCACCATATAGGTGGAATATTGCTGAGTGCGTCGTAAAACTAAACTCACTCATTCACTATACAGTACCACTGAGACAACACACTTGATTCAATTTCACTTTCCGTAACAAAACAAACTCATATAAAGTGATTGAGTGAGTGAGTTCAGTTTTACGCCGCTTTTAGCAATATACCAGCAATATCATGGCGGGGGAAACCAGAAACGGGCTTCACACATTGTATCCAAACGGAGAATCGAACCAGGGTCTTCAGCGTGACAAGCAAACGTGTTATCCACTAGGCTCCCCTACCGCCCCTACAGATGAAGACGAGGTTATCTGTGATATGCGAACGCGTAAAAACACATTCGACTCAACAAAATTAGCAAACTAAAATTCAGCCAGCATGGTATATGCTTTGTAAACTACAGCTTTACAAATAAAGACATTTGCGCTTCATCAAAATTTGTTACACTGAGATAAATATGGTCGATAAAAGTCAGTGGTTCATGAAAGACTGATATAAACGTCAATATCACCATCACGATTAGCAAGATTACTCCGTTAACTTTTCACGGATCTACAATAACAATGGGTGTGGTGCGCTTATGTGCGTCATAATGAAAACTTATGCGTCTTAAAAAAATACCGAGATCATAAATCCAACGGATGTCATTACCTAAGGCGCATAAATATGTCGCTTGATTTATTCCACAGTGGCCATACATTTCAAATTTCGTCCACAGTGGTATGTGCATTTCAAACGTTGTCTACAATATTCTGTGGCAATTCAGTTTGGTGTATGAGTGATGCAGAGAGAAGAGAGGAAGAAGAAGGAGGAGAAAATAGTTTATTAGTGAGTGAGTGAGTTGGGTTTTACGCCGCTTTTACCAACATCCCAGCAATATCACGGCGGGGGACACCAGAAATGGGTTTCACACATTGTGCCAATGTGGGGAATCGAACCCGGGTCTTTAGCGTGACGAGCGAACGCTTTAACCACCAGGCTACCCCACCGCCAAGTTAATTAACGTATCATGTGGTATACAATTGACAAGTTAAAATCACATAAAACTTACAATAAAAAATGTAGACCACCCGGCCCTACGACCTATGAGACACGATGACAGCTTTAAATCCACATACAAATATGAAAATTATTGAGACAAGACTAAAACGTTAAAGTATTAATATACATTAGGATAATTATTGACTGGTACTAAAACGCGTGCTAACACATCACTGTTGTGTTGTTAGTTGTTCAAATATATTTTGACGAATCCCCTGACTAAATTAAAAACAACCTGTTTGACGTACTAATACAACAATGCAACGAGACTCGTTATAATCTACCGTTCTATTACACAAAGAACGGTTGAATGAGCCCCGATCTTAACCCTTTGGACTGACTGACTGAGTTTAGTTCTACGCCGCTTTTAGCAATATTCCAGCAATATCACGGCGGGGGACACCAGAAATGGGCTTCACACATTGTACCCATGTGGGGAATCGAACCCGGGCCTTCGGCGTGACGAGCCAACGCTTTAACCACTAGGCTACCCCTTTGGAGCATATCTGGGATATGATAAGTCCAGTGCAACAAAGGGATCCTCCTGTGCAGGACCTGGCCCAATTGGAAACTGCTGTACACGAGGAATGGCGTTGACTGCCCCTTCAGAGGATCAGGAGGCTGACAGTGGGTATGAGGAGGGTGCTGGCTGTCATACAGTCACATGGAGGTTACACTCGTTATTGACCTTGAATCGTGTAAGACACGCAAAATGATATTTTGAATGTTCACATTCACCAATAAATTCAACATTAAACATTCTAGGGCCATACTTGTACACACATAGTTTTGTATGAAAATCAGTAGGATTTTTTTTTTAAATGGGCAAATATCAACGTAAAATCAACATAGATTCCAGTCATTTTGAGTATTTTGTGAGGCAACGGATCATACGGTAGAGAACTCATGATTTTTCATCGTGGTCACCACGAGAAGTTTTATGTACGTGCTGAAAACCTAGCATTGCGAAAATGCTGGGGTGTTTAATTACGTTCTATGTGTATATTTCAACGGGGTTTCAACGGGGTGAATGAACTATGTAGGGGAGGCAACTGCATCGACTATTCGTTTCACTGTTTAACAGTTTAAGTATCTAAAGATACGCAGGTTGTAACCGGTTTTACAGCATAATGGTAAAAAAAACAAATTTTATATGTAAAACAGGGATTGAATTGCAATCATTATTGTTCATATCGTTTTAAACACGCACGTGTTGATTAAACCAGAGGCCATGTTGTGGTATCATACCACATCAGTGTATAGTCTCTGAAGATGGTAAGGGCGTCTTGGTTCCTCACGCGGAGAGCATCCATCCAACAACAGTGAAAGGGAGATAACTCGTGCCAGCAATAGACAAACTGCTCGAGGAATAAATCCTCTTACACTACCGTATACAGCTCCCTGTAACATCTGTGTTCTGTTTTCGCAGTAAGGGTCGTGTTTGTTTGTTTGTTTGTTTGATACCAGTCAAAGGAGTATTTTAATAACAAGACTGACGAGCACGGCACGGATTGTACCAAAATATAAACTTCCGTGCAATAACAGTATACCTCCATGACCGAAGGTTCCAAAATGAAATAACATTCATGCAGAACGCTTTCTTTTGGGCAACAGAATAACGTGAGTCGCCCTCATCTAAAGATTTGTAGTGAGTGAGCTTAGTTTTACGCCACTTTTAGCAATATTCCAGCAATATCACGGCGGGGGACACCAGAAATGGGCTTCACACATTTTACCCATGTGGAGAATCGAACCCGGGTCTTCGTCATGACGAGCTAACGCTTTAACCACTAGGCTACCCCACCGCCCCTCTAAAGATTTGGAAGAGGAACTCATTGATTATAATGATGATATCTATAATTCAGCTGCTTGGGCGACGACAGCGGCGATGGTGAGTGATGTTAACATCAGAGAGTGAGTGAGTGAGTATGGTTTTACGCCACTTTTAGCAATATTCCAGCTACATCACGGCGGGGGACACCAGAAATGGGCTTCACACATTGTACCCATATGGGGATTCGAACCCGGGACTTCGGCGTGACGGTCGAACGCTTTAACCACTAGGCTACGCCTCCAGGCTACCCAACCGCCCCACCACCCCTCAGAGCGTTAGACACAATGTAACCAGTCATCCCTATCATCACTGGTTTAAAATCTCGGACTAATGTGATATTTTCATGAATCGCCTTGTCAGCCAAGTCTGGGATAGTCCTCTACGTAAGGTGGCAATGTGTTTAGCATTTCTAATTATTCTGTGTTGATGTAATGTTGTTAAAAGCTGCGGCGTAAAACTATACTCATTCACAAAGTTCAATCTTTCAACACCGTATTAAGAAAACAGCTGCCATCGTTCCAACGCGTCCTGATTGCGAACACGCGAACTATATGGGCATACTTTTAATGCCAAAGTGAGAGTGATATATTAATATTATACCTGTAGTAATTCAGCGCCTGGCTTGCTCGTTAGATTAAGAGCATTGGAGTGAGTGGGAGTGAGTAGAGTGAGTTTAGTTTTACGCCGCCGCACCTGTAATATTCAGTTAAGGCGCGAGTCTGAACTACGTCTTGCGACCATCAGCATGGTTACCGACTACGCAAATGATGACATGCCGCAACCGAGTCAGCTGGTCGACCACCCGATCCCGTTAGTCGCCTCTACTGGTCAGCGCGAAGTTACCAGATCAATTTAACCTGGATCTTCACGGTCGATACGGAAATATTCCGGGCTATGCCCGCCTGGACATCTGGTTAATGGAGTTAATCAAGCATTACCCATCACTTCCAAACGATCTGGGAACCCATTCAAAATACGTTATCTGAGTGTTGCGGTGAGGTAGCCTATGGTTAAAGCAGTTTGCCTGGCTCCGGAAGACCCTGGTCTTCGATCTGCTGGGTGCAATGTGTGAATAGTATTCTGGTGCCAACCACCGCCAGCATGGCTGGAATATTGCGCTAAAGTGGCGTAAAGCTCAACCTGCCTGCCAACCACCACTCATTCTATGAATTTTAACGATTCGACTGTCTGAAACTTGCTTCCCAGGACTAACGGGGTCTATTAACATATTATTTACCTTTGCTCCATACTATAGTGGAGTAGGGAAACAGCCACTTTACTCCCCACTCAATTAACTCACTACTCATCATACCCACTTTGCTGCTCTCCTAACGCCTGCTAGCCTCCCCAACGTCCTTACTCACGAACCACCGCCGCATGAATCTATTACAAAAACGTGGCTACAATGGAACAAGCGTTGCCATCCAAGCAGCATCTTAACTTCGCCACAAATCTGAAGCTTCCCAAAACCAAGTGACGGTGATGGTCAAACCGCCTCCACTGGATGATTCTGTATATATATTTGTACAGTTCAATCACGCATTATAACAGGTGTGTCATCCCTAATATGATGCATCGTTCATCGGACAGGTTCGAACCTGAAAACATTGATCAGCGCAATCGATAAACAAGACGTGTATATCATGCCGCAAGGAGTTACCTCCTTGC